AAACTGAACAAAAATGAATATTTTATAACTTAACGAAAGTAGGACCTGAACTAGACTGAAGTGAACTGAACTAAGCTACCCTCAACTTAACTGAACTTAACTTAATTTCAACGTCAGAGAACATGCCCTTAATCAGTACAATGAAATGGAATGACATTAACATATCACTATTGATGATCCAAAATCAATTCAAATGCATTGACGTAACGAATTCCATCAAATTAGAATACAAAATATATTTTTTAAAATGAATGTAAAATGCACTCAAACGTAAGTTATTAAAATGAAACTAATTGACTCAAAGTCACATAAATGTAAACATGTAACCGACAAATGCATATGGGTCTAAGGACTTTGGTGGTACGACTTAAGAAAATATATATCCCATAACGCCATGTCCTCATACGTTGAAATTTAGTTCATTTCTGTTCGAATCACTTCCATTCATAGTTTATTTTCATCTTCCCTCATTTAACTGTAGTTCCGTTCAACTACTAACTAGCTTTTGTTGTAAAAACTAAGTGCAGTTAAGTTTAGTTCAGTTCGGTTGCGTTCTTCGGTCGACTCATTTTAGTTCAGTTCACCTTGAGTTCAGCCAATGAGAACAGACCCTCAGTTTATTCCCTAGTAGTTATTAATGATTTTGTCGTAGAATAACATTATTGAACTTTTCAAAATTAATATAAAATATCGTTTAGAGTTATTATCACAGAATCAATTCAAGCAAGAAGTTACTCACATAGCTCTAAATAGTTCATAGCCTACTCTATAGCTTGGATCAGAGTTAGGGTAGTATTTTCGGTTTACGGTATGGATTAGAGCCAAAACCAAATGAAATCGAATTAATTCGGTTTTCGAAATCTCAATCCGAATCCAAATGCTGATTCGATCCAATCCTATCCAAACCGAATTATTTCGGTTTTTCAAATTAGTATCCAATCCAAACCAAAATTCATTCCCTTCTTTTGCAACATTCAAACCCGAAACTCGAAAGTCACCAAGAAAATTAACTACATTCTTTGTGAGAGATTAAGATTTTGAGAAAGGAGATTATACAATTATGTTTATTTTGTTTGGGTCAAAATTCGTTTTGTATTTCGGCTTTTCGCTTTTTAAACCCCTAACCGAATCCAATCCGTATTCTATAAATTTTGTTATTTTTCTATCCGATCCAATCCGCATTAAAATAAAATTCCTAACCGAATTAGTACGTTTTTCTGTTTGGTTTTCATTTCGGTTTGATTTTCATCTGAATTACATTCACCCCTAATCATAGTAGTACAGCTTAGATCTCTCATTTTATTCACTAAGATGACGTTATTTCGTGGCGTTTTCAAGGTCAAGGGAAAAAAGGATATAATAAATAATTACCTACACTTATTGTTACTTATTTTTTCACCCTTGCACAACAAATCTCCTCGTGGTCCATTCAATTTAAGAAAACAAGTCTTTAATATTAATTCCCACAAAAAAATTATTTCATAATTGAATAAAGACTAAAAACCTTACTAATAAATATTTATTACAGGGTTAAGTTGTAAAACTAATTGTTTAAGGGGATTCATGTGGACATGCATTTTACATTAACACTTACATATATAAAATTATATACCACAATTTACATTACCATATCAGAGTACATTACTATAACATAAGTTGCACTATAATATTTCAAATATTTAACCATCAATATCATTAATATTATCAGTTTGCACTTTATTATTTTTTTCACCATTTTCATTTTTTACCTTAATAAGGCCTAAACTAACTACTGTCTGTATTCAATCAGATTTTTCGTTGTTCAGGACTTGACGTATTCAGTCAAGTTGGGCCAAGCCCAACAAAAGTAACCGCTAATATAGTTCCATTCCAAAGAAATGTCTAACTTGTATTTTGGACCACAGTGCAGCCCACATAAAATCATTTAACCCGAATCTTATAAAAAAATTTAAATTTTTTTTCAATAACCATAACCCACACACGACCTGGAGAATAATATTAAACATACACTTTGCCTAAACATAAGCACATAAAACTTCAATCACACCATGTCTAATGGTTTAAATCCTGTCTATGGGGAAAATCTGCTTCTTCATCCTTGGTGGGAATTAAGTTGGAGTACACAAACATAGAACTCCCACGGTTAGAACGCAAGTCAACACGCCTCCTTCTTTCCCTAGTACATACCACCTGTTTGGAGACGTCCTACATCACAGAATCAAACGTGCATTCAACATTTTTATAAGACAAATGTTGTATTACTACATTTCGATGTTCATAAGTACTGATCAATATGAACAAGATTAAAAATAACTCACATGATACAGATGATAGTCTGGGGGGGCGACTGTGTCCCGCGCTTGTCTAGGATGTCTTTCCCCATAGGCCGCGTCTAAAAACTATAGAATCAATATCGGACCATTAACTATGAGAAGACCCCATTCTAAAGGTAATGTACAACAAAAGACTCTATAACACAAACTAATTTAAGATAATTAAAGGTTATGTACAACTTACCCCTAACTTGCCATAATCCCTTGAATTGAATCGGTCACGTTTGGAGGCAATACCTATCTGCTTCATATCCCAAGCCTTTAATCTTGGATAAGTTCCCCAATTCATAGGCTCCCAATTCAGTCGGTCTAGGTAGAACAACTTCAAAAGAGGTTTAACATATCGTTACTTGTTTTGTAGCTCAAAAATTCAAGCATAATAGATAACAAAATAATAGTGTGAAAGTACTTACAACAACAAAAATAGAGCATCCACCACATCTTCCTGTGAAACCACTAGCATAAAAGCGTCTAGCAAAGCTGGATACATTGTCCATTAATTTTGCAAGGACCAACTCACACCAATCATAGTCAGTACTATCCACGGCACAAACAATAGCAGGTAACAAGTCATGTGGTAGTCTTGTCTTAAATTCTTCTTCTTGGTCAGCCTCAAAATGTGCCTCCAACTTATCCATCATTGCAACAGTAACCGGAATGCCTACTGAAGTGTAAGACCGGCCCATTTCAGTAGCTGGTTTGGTCTTCCATGTCCTACCATATTTCACTAATAATCTTTGTACTTTTTCTCCTACCTCATCGGACATTTCTTTTGTAGAAGGTACTACCTTTGTTCCGCAAGGTATTCCTAAAACCCAACGAACTTGATTTTTAGACAACGGAAATAGGCGTCCATCTGTGCCGATTAACAGCCTACTTATTGGATCAATTCGTGTCATCAGCCAATAAGCTAATTGTCGTGGTAAATGCATACCCTTAGCTAAATGGAGCAATCCTCCAAAGCCCATTTCCCCTACCCATCTTGTTTTCCTTTCATCAAATTTTTGACATATCCTTCTAAATGACTCTACTCTACAGTTCATATTCGGAGGCTGGAATTTAATTAAAAAAATGTTATTCCTTGTGAGCAATAGAATAGTAACAATATCATTGTAATTGGCAATATAAATTACTGTAAGAGTATGTCTGACTAACCCGACGAATGGATTTAGAATACTCCCGTATCACCAGCCTTCTAGCTTTAACATACCCACCAAGACTTAACGCATTATCCTTCGTGTTTGGGACCCAGCTCAAATACACTTTCAACAAAAACATTTAATTATACAATTTAAAAACAACTTAAGTAAATTATTAACTTAGGAGCATGTGATTTTATTATGACACATAAGAAGCATAACTCACATGCAAATAAGTAGGACGCATGCATATAATTAGAACTAGCAGTATCAGTAGTTCAACCAAAAACATTCAATTTACTCCAATTTTGAAGTCAAATTTCTGGGGCCAAATCTCCACTATTATAGTCCAATTTTAAACACATGCATTTACTTAGCATTTCTGCAGCCATATTTCCACTATTGTAGTCCATTTTACAATTATCTATTAAATTTCCAGAATTATAGTCCAGTTCACATTAATCGATTAACTTTCCCACAATTATAGTCCAATTCACATTAATCGATAAACTTTCCACAATTTTAGTCCAATTAACATCGCGAAATACGATTTACAAGCTGAAAGGTTGAATCCCAAAAACCAAAAGAAATTAAAATTGGAATTAACAGTATGAACTGACTTAGCATTCATCGTCGTCGGCGTATTCAGATGCAAGGCTTTTCATACTCGATTTGGGCTCAACTTCGTAGTCAGGTTGTGCCAAATGTAAACGGAATCCCGATTCTGGTTTCATGGATGCGGGCCTTCAACGTTTCCCCAAACCGGTGAAAGCCATTGATACTGTTTACAATTCAACTCAGAGACGGACAGAGTAAATTCGTCAAATTCAACTCACAGACGGAGAGAGTAATTTCGTCAAGATGTGTACTATTCTGTGTCTCCGTTATGATTTACAAAACCCTAAGACAATCCCAACGACGTTAGACACGGATGGGAGAACGGCGTAGAGTCCATGTCAGTGTGTAGGTGGACGTATGTACATGTCAACATGCATTAGTGGACTTGGAAAAGACGAGGATACCCCTTAGTAATGTGGGCGAAAAGACAAAAACACCCTTAGATGTACAAGTTACAGCAATCATAAAGATAAACTGGGAATTACCGGTGAAAAAATATACAGTATGAGAAATACAAGTGTCATGTATGTACTAATATTGAATAAACTTTTCTACTTCAAAGACCACTATTTTTTGTGTTTCAATGTTTTGCCGCATTCCGATTTCCACATTTGAATTCAAAAAATAATTTCAAACCAAATTCAAGTTACCAAACACTATCTACCTTGATTAAACTAAACAAATTCCAAATTAATATGGGGTTGAAGTTGAATTGAGTCCATGTCTCCCAGCATATTCATGGTATGTATTTCTAAACTTTTCATTCGATTTTAGTGACCAAACAACCCTACAACACAATACTATAATACAACGAATATATATACTACCTCCGTTACATATTATTTGCAACGATTTGACATAAAGTAGAGAGGAAAAATGTTTAATCGTTGCACATAATATATAACGGAGGTAGTATATTCAAGTATTTCGTTACAAGTTTTGTTGATTCATAAGTATATTCAATAAAAAGCAATATGGAGTATGAAAATTTGTCTTAAGATCATAATCTGACGATAATTGACTTTTTTCTCTGACGTTGACCTCTATGTGACTTAAAAAATGACACATTTTCTTTTTTTGAACTAAATGTGTATATAAAAAAAATTGACTCAAATTTTACATGCATATATTTTTAGACGTAATGCGCACAATTTCGTTTTTTCCAAGAATACTCAAATAAAAAAAAAATCAATTATTATAAAAATCAATTATGCACATTTAGTGAAAATAATATGCATGATTAGTAAAAAAAACTTATGTATCTTTCATCCTTCTCATTTTAAGAAAATTCTTATTTGATCCCTACCCTATATAATATAAGATATAAAACTACCGAGAAAGAATGAAGATCAAAATACCCAAAATACCCATAAGCTCAAAACGAACATTACTATTTCTTCCCGCTTTAGACTTAAGTTTAACTCCCTTATTATTTACCAAACTACCCTCATTATTAACTTCCAAATCAGCTCCTACCAACAAATGGTATCGACCAGACGTCCACAATAGTCTCTTGTACCTATACTTTGTTAGCAACTCCACCCTAAAAACCACCTGAGACGACACCACGGTATCATTTTCCCATTTTACCCCTCTAACATCAATACTCCCCGTACGATTAGTACTCATAGAATGACTCTTAGAATTACGTAAGAAGAAGGGGCGAAAATTAGCATCTCCGATTTCAATAGGGAAGCTATGGATGTTACGTTTATAAAAGAACGTAAGTTTAAGAGCGTCGTAGTAAATTCCTAAGAGGATAGATTTTTTGTTTTTGACCTTAAGATCAAAATGGATAGTGTTGTTGGTTTGAAGGGTGGAATTTGTGGGTTTTTCTTGGAGGGCGAAAACCGTAAATTCTTCTATGGAGCAGATAGGTATTATACGTCGATTAAAATAAAAGTAGAGTAAAACTATAATGCTAATGAAGATGAAGCTGCCAATACTTCCTCTACCTATTTCCATTGGTTTTCAAGTCAAGCTTAGAGGACGAATAGCGTTATAAGCTTATAACTTTGACTTGAAAAAAGAGATAGAAAATTGTAATGGCATGTATGTATTTCTAGCCTTTTGTTCTTCTGACTTTATAGTATGATGATTGATGAATTGATGACACCACCCTTTTCGTAATTAGAAAATAAGTTAAATAAAACAATAGTATATAAGTAAGGAGTATCATTTTTACTTGGATCTTGAAAAGAGGAATTAAAAAGTCTTTCTCTAACTTAACTCTTACTTATTATAAAATATGAGTGTATTTAATCATTATTTTTTTTAAGAAATTAATTTATAACTATGTACATCAATTGATAACTCATTTTATTACGCACCATAGTTTATTACTCTTGTGTAATACCTAGCTTTGGTTCATTGATTTTTATTTTTTTTTGAATAGTGGTTCATTGATTAATAGTGACAATCTGACAAATAATTTTGCATTGACTCTATTCGTCTTGTCAAAATGTCAACTGTGCAATATTTTGTGTAAGAAGTGTATAAATATAATGGTTATAGCTTATAGAACATAGATAGTTGTGTGCTTAAAAATTTTAAATAATGCAATTTGTAAATATGGAGTAGTCAATGACTTAAAGGTCACACTGTCGCATATATGGAGATTACCAATCCGTCTAAAAACAGTGTTATTTTTAAAATAAAAAACTCTTGGATATAGGGCATGTTTTGATTTACTGAAGTGAACTGAATATTTTATGAGAGAAGGAAAATAGGAACTGAAGTGAAAATAAGTCAAAGAGAACAGACCCATAGTTTTAGGGATGGAATAATAATATAACGTTCAACGTTATTTGAAATCTTTAAACCCAATAAGGTTTTACACAAATTCTTAATCAAGGCGGACTTTCATAAAGTTATTGTAAAACATGTTAAAGTTTGTAAATGTATTTAAAGTTACCATTATATACTACAAAAAATTACAAATTTTCTAACATAAATGTTACCCTTAAATACACTTATTGTATTAGCCTCCATAGCATGTATCCATTAGAAATTACTTGTTAAAATATACTCAAACTCATTACAAATTAAAAATTACACTATAAGGAATTAAAGTTTCCACAAAAATTGTTAAAATTACCCTAAGATTGATTGTCTTACGTACAATAATAAATTAACATAAGTCCTCTTTATACAAGACTTCTTGATAATTATTAATTTAAAGAGGTAAAAAAGAAACTTTTAACAAAACCTTGAATTTAAAGAAACCTTCCTTATCGAAGGAGGCAGGAAAGGAACGCCCTCATCCCATTTCCTACCAGAAATGGTAAGAGCGGATAGCAACATTAACCACATTAGCTACAATAAGAAGGAACGTGACCCTCCAACCCCACGAGGGAGAAGTTTACAAAAATATATTTAGTAGACTTCATTTCAAAAAGACAGAAGAATTTTGTCAATAAAGCATAACAAACTATTATCTACATCATGATTTATCAGGTAACTTTTATTAAATTTGGAATAACTTTTGATCATTTTAGGATAATTTTACAATGAATATTAATTATTGTAGTACACGAATGTTTTAAAAAGTGTGTGCTATAAAATTAGTATTGCTTCTTAGTAATATTTTATCTTAAAGCTCTCAGCATCTTTATAAGGTAGTTTTTTTATAAAATTTGAAGTATGTAAGATACTTTTTAACAGATTTGTTGACAATTTTATTCGCCATAAAAAAAAAAGGAACAGAAAGGAAGTAAAGAACAAACAATCACAAGTGTAAACAAAAAATAATTAATTAATAAATTTGGCAAAAAATAAATTAGAAAAAAGGGTGTAAAACATTAAAAACAATCTAGAAAATTGTACTCATATGTAAAATTAAACGTATAAAATTAGAAAATCATTACAAAATTATACGAATTACATTGATCTACTCGTGTTTTTGTCCGTAGAAACACAAAATAAACATATCACCAAGTACTACTCGTAGATAAAAGGTGAGCTTTAGGCATCCTGCTTGCAAAACAACAAACGGATGCGCAAGCTAGCCCACTGATGAAGTCACATAACAATTGCATCAATGAGACGAAATTCACCAAAACACTGTGATTCAGAATGAATCTTCTACATCATATTTGGAGCAGATAGAAACGTGGAGTTTGATTTGACCATGATAAATGAAAGGATGAAGTTCAAGTTGAAGAAAATGAAATGTTGAATCTTTCTTCCAAATAAGAAGGAATAGATGACCTTGTATATGAAGAAAGTGTACATTATTGGGCTCAATCAGAGGAGCATACTCTGCACCAATCAAACCCACACTAGCACAAGATTTTCTCGAAATTTTCTTAAGAGTCAAGTCAGAAATGTATATACAACCTTTATCCCACCATACAAAACTCTCATCAACTACAAACGCCTTTGGTTTCGAGCAAATTAGTTTTTCCACCTCTATTGAAAACATAAAAGTTGAAGTCTTATAAGGCACATAAATAAGCTTATTTTTTTCTATGTGTGCTGCACATAAACTAAACTCTTTCAAGTTCACACCCGGTGGACAAGGCATAGACTCCCATTCTTGCCAATTCTCCACCGATGCATCCTCAACAACGTCGCCTAATGGCAAGGAAGAGTAGGGAGATGTCATATACAAAGGCGAGACAGAACCAATGAAAATTAAACGATTGCCAACAACAAAGGGAAATGGGTTGCATCTTTCTATAGTCAAGTCGGGACAACGTTCCCAATTACTACCTCTTATTCGAGTATTGATCCGCCACACAAGTTTACTCCCACGGGCAGGGGAACCACACAAGTAAATATAGGGTGAAACCGCAGCACATGTCAAACATTGATTAAATAGCATTATAGGATCGCCTGGTTCACCCTCAATAAACCTACAGAGCTCAATCGACATCTTTTGTTTCTTATAGTTATCATCACCAGTGGAATTTAACAAAGTGCGATACCAAATGAAATTCTCCTTAACGGGATTATAAAAACGTAAAAATACCTCCTTAGATGAAGGAATATTACTAGAACACGACGCCATATTTGTTGTTGAACAATATACGAAGTAGCACACTGATGCCCTGCAACAACAAAAGTTACTGTATGTTAAAATCACTTTACTGTCAAATAATCATTTTACTGTCAACAATCAATTAAAATCACGAGTAATTAAAAATTGGATTAGAAGATTCTAAAGAGGAGCAGTAGAAACTAAACCTGGGCACGGGCCGGGTTGGCCCGCGTGCCGTGCGCAGCCCGGCACGGCCCGAAGTCAAGCACGGCACGGCACGATGTTCAACTTCCGTGCCACGGACACGGTTGAGAATTCCCAGGCACGGCCCGGCACGAGCACGGGCATGGCCCGCCGTGCTGGCCCGCAGGCACGGCCCGCGAGCCAACGGCTATAAAACGGCTAGTTTTTTGCCAAAAATTCTATAAATACTCACCTCCATTTCATTCCCAAATCACAAAATCACAATCTCTTCTTCTTATCTCTTATATTCTCTAAATCTCTAATAATCCTTATTTTCTTAAATTCTCTAATTATTCTCTTAAATTCTCTAATTATTTTCCTAATATCGGAAAAAATTAAAAAGTTCGTAATCGTAATTAGTGGAGCGTTGAAGCACGGTTGTAAGATTTAAACTAATCTTAAATTTATTATTGTTTTATTGTTATTATTAGAATAATCTTGTTTAATTATTATTGTTGTTAATTGTTATTGTTGTTGTTATAATTGTTGTTATTAATTATTATTATTGTTACAATTGTTGTTATTATTTATTTTTGTTGTTATTGTTATTGTTATAGTTGTTGTTATTAATTAATATTATTGATATTTTTATTGTTAAAATTGTTGTTATTAATTATTATTATTATAGTAAACCACTTTTTATTAAAAAATTAATTGTTAATTATGGCATCGAACAACCCATCATCTAGGTCTAGGGGGAAAGGCCGACTTATCCGTAGTAGTAGTTCTAGGGAACCACCAAATACAACGAGCCCCCAAATTACGAGTCAAACCAATGACCCCATTTACTTCCCCCCGGGCTATGAGCCATATAATATGTCGGGATTTCCAGCACCACCACTAAACCAATTTCCACTACCACCATACCAATTTCCACCTAATTATATCGGTAATCAACAAAACTATTGTTCTAGCCAAGGTAGCCAAGAAAGTACCCGAATTCCCTCCGGTTCTACCCCTTCTACTGCCACTCCCACTAGTCCCACTACTAACCATCACACACATCATGAATGGTTAACCGAAACTGAGATGCTACTTTTGAAAAACCGAAGGAGTGAGGTATGACGTTATTTTGTCCTAAGTAAAGATGGTGAACAATGGGCAAAATGTAAAACATGTAATAGTGTATTCACGGCAGTTACCAAAAACGGGACGGGACACTTATCTAGACACATGAAAGCTTGTGCAAAACCAGCTAGTGATCCAACCCAGCCCAAAATTTCCCAATTCCATCCATACGGCTTTACATACAACTATGAGAGGGATAGGGATGAACTAGGAAAAATGATAGTACACGCCGAACAACCTTTTCTTTTCTCGGAAAGTGACGCATTCAACACCTACATTAACAAAGCACTACAACCCCAACATAAAAGAATCTCTAGGAAAACCGTTCGTTCCGCCGCAATGAAAAATTTCCTAGAGTACAAAGTCCGGTTACAAGCCGAATTGAGTAACCTTAACTGTAGAGTATCTTTAACAGCCGATTCTTGGGATAGTGGTTATAAATATCACTATTTATGTGTGACTTGCCATTGGGTAGATGATCAATGGATGTTACAAAAAAGAATAATACATTTCAAAATGCTGGAATACCCACACACCGGCATTAACATTGCTCACCATTTAATGCAAGCAATAGACGAATACAACCTTCGAGATAAAATGATGTCTATGACTTTTGATAATGCAACCTCTATGACATACACAGCTAATCTTATCAAACAAAACTTAACCGATG